TCCCAGTTGTGCCTTGCTTTGGCAGCAGCTCACATACTGATCCTTGGAACACTACCAACTGACAGCAGTATTCACAGGGCAGTTCACTGATGTCTCCAAATTCTTCCAGAAGGATCATGCCAAACCCTACACCCCTTCCTAGCTTTGGCCCAGGACTTAACCTAGCATTTGAATGTCTATGTGGTCCCTGAGAAGAGCTTAGCTCCTCGAACTTCACAGGCCTTTTGAGCAGGGTCTCATATGAAAGAACTCTTCACCTCAAAACTGTGTTTTCTCCTCCTGCCCCAGGGACTGTTTAAATGGAATACAGTCAGGCCAAGTTTTCTTCTTGGGCTCAACCACTAACAGGATGGGAAAACATTCCTGACTGCTATGAAACAAACATTGGCAGGAAATGGAAAGTGGTTTCTATGCATGGAATGGACAGTTCAGGAAGAAAAGAAGTATTCTCCACTTGAGGTCTTTTCCACAACAACAAGGTTTTCCTTTTGTGCCCATAATTTTCTCCCATTACTCATTTATTTTCTGGAAATGAACATGGAATTTGCTTGTCACCTGGAGGGAAAAGCATTGTGCTGCTGGAATAAAAGGCTCCAGGGATACTCCAAGAGGACTAGGAGCTGCAATGTGCTTCTAAGGAAGAGAAGGCCATGTGCACTCACGACGTTTAGTCTTTCTGTGAAAATAGCCACTTACCCGAGAAGGATCACAGGTCTCCACCAGGGAGCGCAGAGCCAGTTGACTAGGACACAGAACAGGTCAAACACACAACAGGTGGATACAGGGCTTATCAGGAAGAGGGATCTGGCAACCAGCCTGGGGAGTATGTAACAAGACCAACCAAAAGTCTTTCCGTGCATCCACCAAAAGGAAAGCAATCTGCCTCAGGACAGTATACTCCAATAGTATGTATTGTTAAGTATGTCAGGTGCCAAGAACACACAGACCTAGCAAGAACTGCTCTTTACTGGAGTAACTGCACAGGGATGGAATACAGGAGACTGCAGAAGCACCTACATAAATTCAGATTAAAAGGATACGCTGTTGAAGTAAGCTTTGAATTTACCTCCACATATGCTTTGAATTGTGTCATGAAGCAGTGTCAAACCACAAAGCCAGGATTCCTCACAAATGAGCTGGGCATTCCCAGAGCATCACCCCGACACTGCAGCCGCAGGTGGGCATTCGGTCCATAGGAATATACCACAGCACATCTGAAGTGAAAGAGAAGCCTTAGACTAAAGTGTGTGTAGCATCACCTACCTTATTGTAAAGAAATTTGCCTGTCTACAGTATTTTCTAATGTAGAAGCTGTCAGGAAAACAGTGTGATCCCATGGGTACCCTCTGCATTTCTCTTCCCAGAGATATATCTATAGCCTTTGAAGTGAGAGAAAGTAAGAGGAAACAAAAGCCACCTAATCTTGGACTTACCCTCCCCACAGCTCTGCCATCAGTGTCAAGGATAGAAAAAAAGTTATCTCCTACTTCAATTAACAATGAAAGTCTACTACTTAAAACAACTATTTATCCTTCCATCTCCCAAGGGGACACTCCTATCATCTGTAGCTGGCCCAAATGGTTACAGCTGTGTTCTCTAACACTAGAGTCCAACAGAAGGCTTAGTTATGGCTTGGTCTTTTCTTGCATAAAAGGATACCATCAACAGTTTGAACAAATAAAAGTGATTTAGCAAAATACTCAGTTCTTGAACAATTCACACTACACTTGATACAAAACTCCAGCTGAATTAAATTCTGCCATCAACTGATTAGCAATTACATGATGACCAGAGCTGTTTGATGGACAGAGGGTGGTACACTGGCTGTTCAGCCAGTTTAACTCCTGGATAGCTCCTCCTACAAGCATTTTTGCAGATACGTATGGCAGACACTGCACTATGTCGCCTACTAGTCAATGCTTGTTTTGATCCCAGAAACAAAAGCAAGCTCCCCAGAGTTTCCACGTGTCCTGGTTTGGTGTGGTGTTTGCTGCTAGCAAAGCGGGTTCAAACCACACCACCAGGTCACCACACCTGTTTTCATCTTTCACTCTTTAATGCAACTATAATGTGTGGGAAAAAAACCACAACACAGTGGCACACCTGCTGACTTAAAATCCTTCTCTAAATAGAGCATTTGCAGAGGCTGTTATGGGTGGGTGACTACATTACCTGACTGCAAAAGCCATTTTTAGCAGCAGAATTTTTGTAATCTGAAAATTTATAGGATGGCAAGGCAATTCACAGGTAAGGTGTCTTGAGTAAGAAACAGCAACTGGTTTCACGATGATTTTACCCTTACCCTGTGGTTCAGGAGAAGTTCTAAAATGCCAAATCCTATAGGAGTACAAAGGAAGAAACAAGACCTACTTGCAGCTACTGAGTGCAGTCTATAGAAAGAGCTCCTCCATTTGTAAGCCATGCCTTCAAGGCAAAGTCAGACTTTCATGCAAAGGAACTGGTTGAGACGAAGCAACTACAAAGAAGTATCTCATTTCTAAAAGCAAACCCATTCGTTGACCAACCCCAAACTGCAGCAGTCCCCAACTCTTGAAAGGACAGCTATTCAAGACCAAATAGCTTTTTCACTTTGAACACAAAAGGCTCATATTAAAGGTCGCGAGCTAGGCCACTTCATGACAGACTGCCTCTTCATGACAGACTGGGAGCAACAGATCATAGCATAACACAAGTCTTCTCTAATCTCCAGACTTAAATGAATTATTCTGCATGAGTTCTACTAGTTGACCACAGCATCAAACTGATGACGTTCTTAGTTTTCCCCCCTTCCTCCTTGTTCCCAAAATTATCTCTCTCACACAAGTACTTAATGCCTTTAGATGGTATCTCACAGTGACAGCTCTGGTTTTAATTATTGGACCAAAAATGTCCCAACTAGACAAAGCTCTTGAATAACACATGATTTTTCATTAACTCACTATCATAGCCTGCCGTATTTAACCTGGCAGTATATAAATCCTACTTTAAAAAAGCAATTTAAATTTAAACATTGTCTTCTCCTACCTCTCCTTTAAAGGTTCATTGCCTAAGTCAAGTAAAAGGGCTGAAAAGCACATAGTGCCCTGAGTAAGGATGTTTCACAGCCCACTTCCAGTAAGTCAGAAGTTGAGCACCACTGTCTTATAAAGGCTTCTGTTTCCAGAAAAGGAAAAAGTAAAATCCAGCCAAATCATGTATTCATAGAAAGAAAAATATAAAAGTCTCCCTAGGAAAACCTTTAGTGGAACAAATACACTAAGTTTCCAAAACACTTTTGTGCAAGAGATGCCAGACCTGTTTGCAATTGTATCTAAGTACACCTTGTGGCCATTTCTATTAGATAAGCTGTGGGTATATTTTGCCAAGGTTAAAGTTATCAGCTTATGTACACATTTGCATAAGCTTTTCATGGAAGCACTTAAAGACAGCATCTATAGAAGTCCATATAAACTGATTTTTCATTAGTGTGTACTGACATTATTTCAATTCAGTTTTCCTCATTCATGAATAAGAAAGGAGCAGTATGAAAGGACTCAGAGGTTTCCATTTTTATTGCAAATCATTCGCTCCCAAAATATTTTATAACTATTTTAATTAAGGCAAATTGCAGAATGTTTACATTAACATTACTGTCATCAGCTGTATCATGGTACATGATATAAAAATAGTCACATAAGCTTCAAATATGCCACCTCGTTTTACCGTCGTCCAGCTCTACTCTTCAATGCTTTCAAAGTTTTCCTCATGATTGGTGCAATTTCTTCTATAAAAACAAAAAAAGAGACCAGTTAGAATTACAGCTATGAGTGATTTAAAATGGTATTAGTATAATATTAAGCAAGTATTAATAGACAGCAAATTACAACAAGTATCTTGATAATCTTAGGAAATTCCATTTACTTCTGATGGGCTTCTTTCCATCTTGAGTCATTACGCTTGAGCTAGAGCTTCCACTGTTGCTAGCAGGGATCAGATTTGATGTGTTATTTCTGTCTCTGCTTTCTGGAATCTTCGTCCTTTTAAAACAAGGAAATAAGAAAAAAATTAGCATTTAATATCAAACTACTATTTGCTCACTCTCATTTTGGAAAAAAAATGGTCACAAACATTTAAGTCTTTATACATTTAAAAATCACAGGATAATTCAGATTAGACAGGATCTCAGGTCACCTAGTCCATTCCCCTGCTTGCACAAATTTTCCATTTATTAATTTTGATGCATCTTAATTGTCTTCAAAATTAAATGATCAGTATTGGTGGCAGATCAAAATGTTTAGCAATACCACGGTGATTCATAATGCTCTGTGCTCTAGTTTGCTCTTTGTGTTTATTTTCCTCTTTGAACGCAGCTGAACTGCTAACTAGCTCTGACAGAAAATGAGGACAAATTTACAAACTTTTATATTTGTTTCTAAAGTAGGAATGTCTAGCAAAAGGCACAATAACTAGCCCTAAATATTGGGATGGAATCCTCAATCAACAGGACAAGAACTGAGGCAGGCACAGACACAGAGATGATGCCTACTGCGAAAGACAGTTAATCCAACACAGCATTAAAGTGTCAGCATGATGTCACCAAGCTGGGCAGTCTTGTATGCCGCAGCCAGTCACTGACATCTGCTATTAGTTATCGTATACCACTGCACACTGCACTGCAAACTGCAGCCTGACAGGGATCTGCACGGCTGCCATAGGACCTTTTTAGCTCCTGCAAGACCAGTTTCTTAAGTGAATATTTCAGCTGTACAAATTCTACAACTTGCAAAACCAAGAGGTTTCCAGAGGACATGGTCAAAGCAATGAAGTTAAACTCATCATGCCTAAACAAACTCTTGTTTCTCAAGAGGGCAAAGCAACGATCCTATTAGGGCTTCTTTCACACAACAGCAGTTCTTCCTAATTTATCATGCCTGAGGGGGGGGGGAAAAAAAAGAAAAAAACCACAAACATGCAGGGCTTTGAGTACATCATTCAGTTACTGTCTGAGAGATTACTGGTGCAGAAAGGACATTTACACGAGTGTACTTGAAGCACCTAAACAGGAAGGCTGGTCTTCTCCCAACACAGATATAACCTCTCACAGGGCAACAGAAAGCAGAAGACTAACTTGAAGCTACTTCCTTGGTGGGGGAGTATCTTTCCTTTGAAAACAGCAACAGTATGGAAAGAAGCTTCCTACTTTAAATCACCTAACAGTGCAGCTATAAAAACACTGTATCTGGTGTAAAAGCTGATTTTAAGAAGTTCCTACATCCAGGCTGTCATTCCTGCCCCATACCACCATCCTGAGCAGGAAGTTGAGGCGGCTTGACTAGTCCAAGCTCTTGAAACTTGCAGAAAACACACTTCCACATGGTTTTGTAGGGTTTTTTTCCCCCTGATAAGCCCAGGTCAGTTCAGTTATCTAGTTCGCATGCCTAAGACCAAACAATTAATCAGCACAACTGCAGGCACTGCAGCATCAGAACAGAAACAACTTAAAATGACTCTGCTGACATATTCAGCTTTACTAAGTCACTCTTGCATCACATTTGCAACAGCTTAAGTTTCATCCACCCTGTTCCCAGCTATCTGTCACTATCCACTCCCATATTTGTCAATCTGCATAACTGTGCCCTAATTCAGAATAATGAAAAATGTTCCACCTGCTGCTCCCCCAAGGGGATAATGTCAGAAGAGCTAGTTGCAGAGCAGTTATGCCAACACAGGAACAACCACAGGCAATGGGGACAAGGGAGGGGACCATGCTCACCAGCAGCCACAGCAAAGTGAGTGACAACGGCTTAAGACACCCATGTTCAGGCAGTATGAACACACTCCATAGCTTTTATGGTCCAGCATGAGGTGCTTCTGAACCAAACTGATGATTTTTCTTTCAGACAAGAACAGATATTCAAACACTAAAAAACACCATCCTGTTTCCACACAGTTGAGAAGGGAAGAAGAGGTAGAAGCTGGTGCTACAGCTGGTTTGTTTCCCTGTTGCAGCCATCCTCTCGGCTACAAGAGAGTTCGTTAGGCTGGTAGGAACAGGACAAACCTCCTTTCTCAGCTTTGGTTCTCATGGCTGTTGAACTCCTCTGAACTAAGATGCCAAAGAAAATTTGGCTTTGTGCCATACAAAGGAAACAGTTGCAGAATCCCAGTTTTCTGTTCCTTCAGTGACTAGTGTTGGCTACTGTTCCAGACACTCCTTTAAGCTGCCAAAGCAGAAACCCACAATCAGGAGTATTAAAAGTTGCTGAGATCCACTCTGGTGAGCTATATCACTCTCGACAGCTGACTGGGATTTTATGAAAGCAGGAGAACACATGAAGCTACTAGGCAGGTTTACAAACATGAAACACCAACACTGGAATCTCCCCAGAATGTCAAGCGGCACTAGTGTAATCTGGAGGAAAAACAACAGCATCCGCTCACTCTTCAGCTGGGAGGATGAATTCATCACTGGCACTCTGGAGAAATGAGCAATGACAATGCATACACGGCAGAGGAGCACGCAAGACTTAAAAGGCAAGTTAGTTTCTAGCCACTAGCTGCTTAAAAAAGGAAAGTAAATAGAAAGCTATTTATAACTTCATAAATATTTTGCCAGCAAGCTTTTGTACTGACAAAGACATCTAAACTCAAAAGCATAGTACAGAACACTTACTTGCACTTCTCTATGGGATGAAGTTGGGTGACAGGTCCTGCTGTCCCATGGATTTCTTGATGTCGGCGAACGTTCCTGGGTGGTTTTGCTGCACTGGTCATGTAAGCCATTTTTACTTGCCTGCCTAACAGAGAAGCAAGAAGCAGAGGATATATGACTTTTTTCCCCTTACGTCCAAAACTCAGTTGATAATATGATTGTGTGGCAATTTCTGGGTTTAAATTGGGGAAAAAAGTAATTCAGAAAAGCAGAATCTGGTACGAAAATAGTAACTGAACCATGGCAAATCATATACAGACTGCATACAGTATTTCTTCATATTAACTTCAGTATTTGTAATTACATTTGTACTCTTTGCATTGTTGCTTAGAATCCTCAGTCTAACCCACAAAGTAAGATTGGTCTACTCTATGCTGCAAGTATTACACATTAATGTATTGTACTAAAGCTAACCACAGATTTTACCTTTTGGTTTCTCAGACTGAGCTGAAAGAATATTTTTTGTAAGCATCTTCAGTTTTTCCTCTCTCTGATTGAACAGTCTCAAGTACATTTCACGCCAAGACTCATATTCTAGGAGGCTCTCATTTTTAAAATCTCTCTGGCAGTGTTTCTTCCACAAATGGTCAGACTCTTCCGTAAACATCTAGTTTGAACACAAGATACCTTAAATCAAAGATTTAAAATAACATTTCCAAGAGTACCTGCTAGCTGTGCCTGTAGACAAAGCCCAATACCCCAGTGGAGAAAGGTGCAGAACAAATCCCACCACACATGCTGTCACAAGTATCCTCAACATGAAGCGTGGCAATACCCTGCAGAGATACTGACTTCAGTCTAGAAGTCACATAGCTTCAAATAGCAGAGCTCTGTATTTGAGTTAATGAGCCATGCTTACAGGCTAGGCTTGCATTTCCGGCACAAGCTCAGGCCACACCAGCTCTCAACTTTAGGCATGCAGAGAAATGGCCAACTTGCACTATGAAGAGCTAAACAGTCAGAATCTCAATGTTCAAATGCATCATGAAGTCCTAACAGTGTAGACAAAAAAAAATAAAAAATCTACCACACACATTAATTCTCACCCCAGATACTTCCTGGTTGGTATGCTTTACAGCCTTAACAGTTTGTAACTTGAAAACAGTTGGTTCTATTATGACTTTCCCAGCTATTTCACTGGTAAATACTGTGGTGGTTTGTTTGGTTTTTTCTCTTATTTTTAGAAACACCCTGACAGTTGATGAAGGGAGGCTTGATAATGACAGATGAACGCAAAGAAATAAGTATGCAAGACAGAAAACCAGTGTAACCCGTTGAGAATCTTTATCAAAAAGGGTGCAAGGAAGGCAGAAACAGATGCCTCATGTTCTCCCCGAATTTAACAAGGCAGAATTTACCGGATTACATTCCTCTATTCGAAACAACTGCTCTGGTGTGCAACGTGTTAGCACAGGCTCAAGAATTTCAAAGGGCACACCTCCTACTTCATGTAGTGCTACAAGAGAGGACAGTACTTTCAGTGTCTCATTTCTTTTACTCAGTGGGTAACACCACTCACCAAGCAGTTTAAAAATAAAAATACAAATTAATTTTAGCAAGAACTAACAGAACACATGTTTTGAAGTCAGGCTATGAAAAATATTCATAAATCAGCAGCTCCACACTGTCTGGCAGTTATATCTGAGGATGGAGAAAGCATCTCGAACAGCTATTGCACCATGTTTACCGATGTGTATCATTCCCCTCTGCCCACACCAAGGAATAAATAATTTCTTGATCACTCAATCTAATTTATGTAAACAAACATTTTGGAGGGGAAAAAAATATAATTTATAAGCCAAAAAAAAGGTATTTTAACTAAAATGGGAACTTCAAAAAAGGTAAGCTTTCAAAACGGAACTACATTTTAGCACACCCATAAATCAATTTTTTTAAAGTGCCCTTCAACCTGCTCTGAGTCACTGTTCATAGGGAGGGACAATATCTTTTAGTAGACCAGTTGCTGGTGTGGAGGAAAAAAAGCAATCTCATACACTTTCAGGCACAGTCTGCTACAAAACCCTTAAAGTACTCACAATCAATATTATTTTGAAGCACGCGGATGCACTGTTCATACAGCGTAAGCATCTTTGAAAGACAGACTGGTTTAGAGCCAGAGTAAACTTGCATTTTAGAGTTCAGTCTCCGTCCTGTGAATTGAACCGTCTCACTGACTTCCTGGGGTGCTTCTACAATAGGCACATGGGAAGCTGCAAAAAAAACAAAACAAAAAACCAAACATCAGGCAGGGTTTCTTTTACCTCCTGACATTTTACAATGCTTTAAACATTCAGGTTTGAGAGAAATACACCTGGTAGGACACACGTATATGCTTTTTTTTTTTTAAACACAAACTTACTGCATTACAGTTTGGGACCCTTACAAGTACGATATGTTACAGAAGTCCATTCATCATCATCTAACACCAAGACAGTGTGTACATTGCAAGTGAGCTGCACTAACTCAAATCAGCCTTACATTATCTAGTTCAGGTCTACACGAGCTGTATTCACATCTAGATTACTCTGTTACCAGTCTACAACACATTATTGATCTTCCTGAGATCTCCTAGGGAATCCAGAAGATGTTTCAAGACTAGAGTGATATGAAACCACTGAAACATCACAAGAGCTGCTAGGGGAACCACTGGTACTTTGTCTCATCTACCTATAAAGATATTAGCAAGTTCCTATGCCAAAGCTGCATCTAGTGCTTCCTATATTTCTTCTACCTAAGATAATTTCTACTAAGGCTTTGCCTGCTATAAGGTACAGACAGAAGTAAAGATAAATGGGGCCTTGAAAACTACTACTTGATCTATGCCTTCTCTGCATCCATGGTAACCTTCCACGCTACTTTATTCTGAAAGCCGTAAGAGGGAAGCCTTTATAACCCCCTTCAGCTTCAAGACAATTTCTGCAGATGAGAAAGTAAAGGCAAGGCACTTCTTTGCCATAAACAGGTGAGCTAATATGGTTTATTAGGAAAGGGGATAAAAACATCTCTACATAGAGCTGTAAAAAACCTGTGCTATTTCACATTTATCAGCCTCGCATACTACTTACCTTTAAAGTCTGCAGCATATGGGGGAGATGAGATTGAGATGCCTGTCAGAAATTTAGGCAGTGGCGTATTAAGAAGATCTTGGAGGGATGCCATCTTGGCCTGTGCACAGTCAAGGAAACACTGCTTCAACATTACAAATTTGGGTTTAGCGAGGCTTAAAATAAACCTTTAAGCAACCTCCAAAGTTAACTAGGATAACTAAAATTATTGATTTTCTGCACTAAAATTTACTCACTGGATTACTTTTCAGTGTACCCTTTCATACTCTACTTACCAAGACTACATCACAAAAGGAACTTAATGGGATATCTGCAATCAGTGCATAAACAGAGATTAAAGAAGAGGGTACACGTGTTCAGCTAGCAGGCTTTCAAATAAATCACTATTGATGTTAGAGGCGTACAGTGAATGAGACAAAACTACAAGATGACAAAACGACAATTAAATGTTCAAAGGCAAACCAAATGCCATCAATCACTACTGATGTTAGAGGCGTACAGTGAACGAGACAAAACTACAAGATGACAAAACAACAAATGTTCAAAGGCAAACCAAATGCCATCCTGAAGGACAGGAAATAGCTTTATATCTGGTCCTATCAAGTCTCCTTTATTGTGCCAGATAAGCCATTTAGCCTAAAATTTTCACAGATAACCCCTTAAAAAGGGATTTAAACATGCAGCAGTCTGGTAAAGGTCAGCATTTTGTGCAACATCCTAATGGGATCATAGGTGTCCTTACAGCCCAAACCTTGCATCTCTCTGAACATCACTTCAGTATTTTTAATAACTTTTTAACACAGCTTGAACATCCAAGATTTTCCCTCAGTTTATACTAGAGTACCATATACAAGCCTCTAGATTAATATTTTTCCATTTGGGACAGTAGATACCACATTCAGATTGCAGATCTTCCACAATAAATAAATAAAGCCTGGAGCTTTCACAATCCAGCAAGGATAAAAGACTGAAGAGACCTCTAACGCCCAGTACACAAAAGGGCTTCATTTAAAAGGTCTAATTAATACATGTGTTTAGATCTACCTTGGCTCAGAGGAGCCACCTAAGCTTCTTCCACTTCAAGGGACTAGGACAGTTCACATTACAAACATATATAAGCTATTTTTATGTGCCATACTGTGGTTTAATTCAATGTATTAAAACGAGAAAATTGAGTTCCACTGGAGACCTTAACATTCCCTACTAAAGAACCCCAGCACCTGACAAAACAACCGTGCTGTACACAAACAGCTGCTGCATTCACAAACCAGGCTGGTCAAGAATGGAAGAAGGGGACATCCTTCCCAAGGTAAGTACCTTTCTTTACTTTGTGGGTCAAAAGCAGATTAGCTGATATGCATTAAAGACTATTGACATATTGGAAATAATCCTAAAAATAGAAGACTAGTTCACAGTAAACCGACAGTATGCAATAAACAATTTTTCCCCAATTATTGCGATTATTGGCAATTGCAATGCAGCTGATATTTCAGAGCTGTGCAATCAGTTGCTTAAATAAACACAGCCGAATTTCACTGAAAATAAGAGTCCAAAGCACTTCATCTGCAGTTTATTTGCTATTATCTCAACTATGCAGTGGTTTACCTTTTTATTGGGAGTTTCTGATTGATCATCCTCACATTTTTTTACATCTTCTTCTTGCTCTTTTGCATGAGAAAATGTTGAAGTCTTCTGTGGTAACGAGCTGTTCTGTTCACTGCACTTCTTTGTCTGTTCACCTGCACAACAAGCCTTCCTTTTTCTTTTTCTGTTAACCTGATCATAGTTAAGATAAGATTCAAAAGACATAGTAGGGGGCTCAAATTCTTCATCACTAGATAATTCAGCTTTGCTTTTTATGACAAGTTTTTGTTTTGGTTTCTTCACATGCTTAGGATTTTTCTGCTTGGAAGCATCCTCACTAGGCTTTTCCTTCAGGGGTGGTAAGTCTTCATTGGCTACAGAGGCATGCTGCTTTCCTGAAACTTTCTTGCTGTCTGTGGAGGTTCCCTCTCTGAAGTCACTTTCTTTAGTTTGAGGATTGGTACCCTGGGAAGCATGCTTAGAACCACTGCTGCTACATTCTTTATTATCACCACATTCTTTTTGAGACTCAGAATCTCTACTTTGGTGGGCCTTTTTACTACAAATATTCTGCTTATTCAACTTCTTAGAAATAGGAGCACTATTGGAACTTCTGGAGGCCAGTACAGATGCTTTGGACTTCTCTGAAGGCTTAATCTCCTTGGAAACAGAAGATTTTGTCTTATCTTTTTCTTTTTCAGTATTTTGTTTTCTTCCTCTGTGACCACTGCAACATAAAAAAAACCCTCACATCTCATGCTACATCTGATGCAAAGTTCTTGAACAATCGATCTTTTTACCTACATTAGTAAAACCAAAAGCATTAAATCACACCATGTGTCATAATTGTACAAGAACGACAACTGTGCTCTTCTGTGCTCTTATTCTTCCTTTATTAGTACAGAATCCCCAGAGAAGCAGCTCTTGGGTCCAGCACCACTAAATGCTGCAACAAGAATTGACAGAAAGAAAAGCAGCGAATAGGGACACAACCATCAGTAGGAAAACACGCCTAGCAGTACTATTTGCTTATGATGTGTTGGATACCACTTTTTACACAAGTTTCCCTGCATGCTTTATAACATAGACATAGTACTTGAAAAAAACTAAGAGACAATTTATGACATGCTCTGTAGGTGATACAGATCACAACAGGTCAGCCTTTATGGTTTGCTTATCACAGGTTCTGGTATTTCACTTTCGTGTTGTTTGAACAACTTCAGATTTAAAATGCATTATTCAATCAACCTAAACCTTTGGCTTTCTCAGCTCAACGGCCTCAAAATGTTGGAGGTCTGCAAAACATCTAAAGCACAGTCAGCCTGGCCATGGCAGTTGTGGCTGCTTCATCCTGAGAAGAAATCATATCTCTTCAGTGTGATTCCTCCAATATTGGAAGCCCCTCTCAGTCCACAAGAACATTATAGGGAAGCCCTCTATACAACCAAATCACTGGAGAACTGCCTCATTTAACCACCACTCTGAAGAAAGAGCAAGCTTCCCACTGCCCTGAAGAAATGCAGAGCAGCGCCAGTCACTGGCTAAGTCCTGCTTGCATCAGCTGGGACCTAAGAACTTGTGACCATCAAAAAAAAAGGGAGATGAAGTCTAAGTGCTGGCTGGCTAATTGACCAATACTTGTGGCTCTGATTCGCTTTCTGGTATTTTATAAAAGAAAGACTGATGTCTTCATTCAGTTTATGCATTTGTCCTAATGCACATTTGTGTTTCCAAACACTTTCCTAAGCTTTCCAGGCTGTATTTTATAAAGTTACATTACAGTATAATTAACTTCTTAAAAAAAAAAGTTACTTCACACCTACCTTTTACTTTCTGGAGGAATAAGTTTTTTCCATTGTTTTACCAGGGTTTTAGCTACATTTCCAGCAATGGCATGTTTCTTAAAACTGTTAACTGTTTTGCCTATGCCTGTTTCCTGTTGAAGACAATAAATCACAACTATCATCCCAAATAAAAACCTTTTCTAAAACTGCTACAAGCAGTATTAGCCTAGTAGTTAGAGATGGCAGCTAAAGAAATAACAAATGCACTCTTTATACTGCAAACAGAAGTGAAAAGGTAAATATTTATAACCAAATACAGGGAACAAAATGCAGTCTTAATTCACAAAAATAAGAGAAGTAATTTTCCACTATTAAACATATCTATTTCAGGAATTTTGCTTGGCTCGAATGCTTATGCCCACAAAAAGCATACTGTCCCACTGAATTAGATTAATCAACTAAAATTCCCTTTAGGCTTATGCAAGTGCATTTTAGCATGTTAGAGAGCACATGATGGATGTATCGTAATCTAAAATGCATCTCACCCAGGACTGGTATGGGGTAGAGGGGTCAGAGTTGCAGAGTTCATATGACTAAACTCAGTCTCAGTTTCAGACACAGGGAAGAAAAAACCCCAAAACCTTGACATTTAAAGCCTGTCATCTTCTGTTTTTCCCCAGTATGACTATTTTCACATTACCATTGTGCCTTCAAATCTTGCTCTAGTGAGTTTTACGATGTTTAAAAACAACTATCTTTGAATGTATATAAGCACCACAGGTGATTTTTTTTTTTTTTTAATCCAGTATTATCAGTAAGTATCTCTGAATCAGAAACTGTCACTTTTAAGATGCATACAAAACCTGGAACTCCTTAGGTTAGCTTAATGCTCTTGCTAACTACTGAAATGATGCTTCAGTGAAATCTGAGCAAGAGCTACACATGTGTTAGTCCTGCAAAATCAGTTCACACCTTAGAAAGGACTTCCTTAATTTCACTTTAAGGAGATTTAGCATCTATATAACTTTAGCGATACTGGTTTGGTAGGTCACTGTATTGCAAATAGATGCAAGAAATTCGGTGGAATTATTTCCTAAAGCTATTTATATTCTTCAAATATGTTAAAAATACATGGAATCCTTGGTTGCAAGACACCTCTTTCCTCTGTTTGACTTGAAGGCTCCCATCACAGTCTGTCACATTATAAAACATGCAAGTCTGCTGGGAACATTAATTGTCTGCAGAAGCCCTTTTAGTTTAAACAACTATTGCAATATAAGATTTTTTTGTTTTCCAATAATACATAAATACGGCTGTATTCCAGTAGAATTCTACCTGTGTTTAGGCAGGCAAGTGCCTTTGCCTGAAGAGGCCAGACAAATATCTTAATTCCCATATTTTTCTCATATTCTTCAAAGAATTATCTCACAAAACCCACATTTTTCTTCTTCTCGGCATACAAGCATATTGCTCATAATAAGCAGAAGCTTCCTAGAAGTGTGAGAATTTCTAATATAAACTTTGACAGAATGCAGCTTGGAGAAGGATAAAAGTCACAAGTATCCTTACTCTATAACTTGGGATGCCTGTTCTTTAAATGCAAGAAACTAATCTTGAGCTGCTAATAAAAGACAGAAGACTTAGACAACTGACCTAAAGAACAGTTCACACATATTTGTTTTAGGCATCAACTTGAAAGCAGTTTTACAGTGAGAAGAAATGAAGCCTGAGTAGCAAAGTGTTCTCTGTATGCTTAGATCCCTGTTCAGTACTATCACTGCTGGCATAATACTGCATTTGTCAAGTTGTATGCCCAGCTTCCAGCTGGCTTTTGGAAAAAGCTCCATGGTTGCTTGTACAGAGCTCTGCATGAATCATGAGCAAGAGTCAAATTTACAAAATGCAACAATGTTCACTGCTTTTATGACTACAAAGCCCCAACATTTACACAGTAATTCACTATGGAAGAGTTTAATATATTATTGGTCACTTACCACTAGAATATCCAGTGATATATCCAAATCCCGTAGTACCTTAAGTGTTTTTATAATCTGGAAGAAAATAATTTTTTTAAACAAATATTCATAAATTCTAGTCTTTCTCATTCACATGTTTAACTCAAAAATAAGTGCTAAGAGGAATATCCAGCAACTCCAGGAAAATGTAAGCACTCCTTTACTATACCCATCAGGGCCGTGAACCAGCACAGTTCTGCCAACCCCCGACTTTCAGTAATAATAAAAAAAAAATCCAGTAGGTATGAATTTACCACTACAGAGATTACATTAAAGATCAATAATACAGCAGCACAGGCTATACATGTATATGGCCACACTCCTCGTGTAGCAGTGACCCTCATTTGTCACAGAAACAACGGAAAACCTGCATTATGCAGAAACACCATGCGAAGAGCAGTAAAGTCTCCCAGTCAGCAGCACCATTGTTTCACCAACCCCGGCTAAGAAAGGACAAATGAGCTAGTGAGAGCCCAGTTTGCAAAAAAAATAAGGTTTTGAACACTTAACTGCAGTTTGTACATTAACAAAATGACCTCAAGCTAGAACAGCTGTTCTGTTTCGCACTGACAAATTGTACAACTGCTACAAAACTCAACATTTCCATCAAAGCAGGAAATATTTTTTTCAAATACAAAATGGCTCATCTTCCTATGAGAAGCATTTTAACAAGGCAAAAGTCCCATCCATAAGCAGAGTATAAATCTATTTAGCAATGGGTGTACAGCACCCCAGAGTGCTGCAGTTAACCACACATGAGCAATTTGCCTTATTTTTCACAAACTTCCATGAAGCTATGTAGATGAGAGAACTAACGTACGACTGAAGTAACAGCATTTCTTAAGGCTTTCACAAAGCCTGGAATACTAATCAAGTCTTTCAGATCACTGACACTTCTAAATGCAATAGCAGGAACCTACAGGAATGCAAAACAGACTACCCAGAAACATTTTAACTATAACAACAGCTATGACAACTTAAATAGCTGATGAACTGTCATTCTTCATATTAGATACTGCTTCTGAACTAGTTTTGCAGAAGGTAGAAGAGATACTAAAATAAGTAAGTAGCAAACTTGAAGAAACAATTTACAAATAGCACTCTCTACTGTCATTCTAAGTTTCACTTTTCCTATAATGCATTAGTAGTGGAATCCCACACTTGACATGATTTCATTGTGTGTAGTGGGCTCTACCTGCACGCCTGGCATGCAATTCTTCTTGAAAATCATCCACCCTGCAGTAGTGTTTCTGAGACCTAGAGAAGTACAGGAGATATGCTTCACAGCCCGGAAAAACATGAGAAAAGCTCTAACAGTAAGATACACACCTAGGACCAGAGCTAAGAAATCAGCTTTCTCCCAAAAAGTTCAGATAACTACAAAATGGTAGGACACCTACAAAAAAGGATTCCTGACCAAAATTTTGGAACCAGTATCAAAGCCACATGAAGCTCTGCTTATCTCCTATTTAAGGATAAGATACACCCTGAGCCAGCAAGATGAGTCAATATATGCAATGAAGTTAAAAACAATTTTGCATCTCAAGAGAACTACTCTTCCTTTTGAGGATAAAACAAGCTTAACATGTAACTTTCTTCTAGATACTTCACAGGTACAGACTACATATTTTGTGACAAATAATCCCCATCCAGAAGTGTGTTGCAAAGATGCTTAAGTAAAACAAATAATTGCTCACAATGTTGACCAAAATCATTAGAAACTGTTATCTGTGTCAGGTTAGTTAACTTTCTTACTTAATTAAAAATATATCCCCATTCACTCATTTTGCAATCAAAAGGACATAACCCATTGCTGAGGAGATATACTGTGCTATACAGGATGACCAGATACTCAACCAGTGCAAACCACTCGGAATAAATCCCATAGCCCAAAGCCAACCCTGTACATGGAAGAATACTAAAAGATGCTTTCATCAACATGCAAGAATGAGGGTTTTGAGTGTTTCCTCTTGATTGGTTTTGGACTAAGTTAATTCCTGAAGCTGAGCTCATTTCAGAAGAACTTTCATGCAACTTCAAACTAACAGGCTAAATTACAAAAGTACCTAGATGACAAGCATGCCTGAAAACAGTCAATACATTTTTATGAAAGACAAAACCTCCCAAGTTTTCTAAACCAAAGACCACTGTGCATTTTGCTTTTTTGAGGTGTACATCACATTTGGCAAATTAAGACAAAGAAGAGGGTTTCATTCAAATTAAAATAGAAAGCATCAATCAAACTCTGGCAATTCTTTTAGGAGAACCGATACCGATCTCTCAAAAGCAGGAAGCCACTAGGGCTGTGGTGAGATCAGCAGCTATCATGCATGGGACTACCTGAAAACCATCTCTCAGCCCTTGGCATCTAAAACCAAGCATACTTACAGGCACAACCAGGAAACAAGCAAATGTAATTTGTGGCAAACATCAGTAACAGCAAAGAAACTTTGTATTTATCCTATCTGCTGCAGAGTTTTGATTTCTCTGTTAAAGACAAGGATGGGCTGCTAGGTTTTTAAAGCACAAACACCAAGCTCCAATACCTATCAGACTTTGGTGAAGGCCCCAGAAAGGTATATTCTGAAACATAAGACACAGTAAAGCCTGTCACTGAAACTAAATCTTGTTAGAGACATGAACTTTGGTGTCATCATATTTATATGGTGGACCACTACATTTATTAATAAGGCAAAAAGAGAAAGTAATTTATCTGAAGTCTGTTCTGAGCAGGCCTTCAAAAACAAAATGAAGGCTGACTGTTGAGGTGCCTTGCTCTAACTGTATCTTTTACCATAGATTTGTAGCCCATCTCACTCTTCCTATCTCACTGTACTCTAATTTTTCCCCAAGTCCTTCCATACATACACAATATGCATGCAACTCTCTAGTGGCTTTCATACTATTTTACCTTGCGTACCACTATCAGCTATACTCTCATGGGAAAACTCTACCGACTTTAAAAGAGATTATAAAGTTTATAAAGAAAAAAAAAATCTACGAAGATCATAAAAGTTATTCTAGATATGATTCCTGAACTGTTCTATGCAATTAAAAAATACATCCTGACTTCTAGATGATTCAAAGCCTTTAGGACTGTTGTTTTTCCAATAAGTTGCATTCCAAACAAACCCAAGACACAGGTCTTCATGCAATGTAAACAGAAAACAGAAGCAAAGCCTTAAGGACAAACTGAGAGCTGGGACATGCGTACTAGTGCAAGACAAAAGCAAAGGTGACAGTAGAAGCAAGAGCAAGCTAAGATTAAGGGGAAGAGGGAACAAAGACATGCATTCATAAAGCAGAGGGAACAGGTAACAAACAATGAGCAAGAAGTATGCAAGCAAACAAAATTTTCCAGAATCAAAACTGAAAGCAAAGTGATGATAACAACAGACCCCAGGTGCACTGCATCTGGTCTCTTCCCCCTGCACCAATGCTGCTGCAGCCTCCTTTTTATGAGCGTTGTACAGTCACCTCACTTCACCTGGCTGAGCCTGGACCCTTGGGAAGGATGGGACCCATTAACACGTCCCCAGGCCATTGTGGTCAAGGGACTGACTAAACATTTCACCACAATAACTCCTTCTTGTTTTCACTCCTCCCCTCCTCTTCCTCCCTCACTAGCTGCACCTCTCTCTCTAAGGGATCCTTATGATTATCTGGCCTGTTCTCTTCTATAACACATTTCACCAAGTGGTAAACCCACATCATGTCCGTAACTTCTGGCTCAGCTAGACAGCTCATGTGAAAGTATACCACAAACTTTGAAGACAACACATTAGACAAACCAATGCATTCCCAAGCAAATCATTCCTATGCCCTCAGAAAAAAAAATAGTTTCCCTAAAAACACAGTCTAGTTTTGCTTTCAGCTACTGAAATAATGAAATTCATTATCTCTTTCTGATAAATAAAGGTATCTTCTTCCAAACATCTTATACCACACAGAAATGTAAACACTAATCACACACTTTACCTTGGTTCTTTAGTTTCAGTAAATTATGCTAGCCAGAGCTACAGCCGTTCTCAAGCTGCCTTGCTATTTTTCCAGCTTGGCAGTGTTGTTTTTAAAAACAGTTCCCAGAACAGGACATAATAGTCCTGTAATTGTCCCTCTAATACTATATAGTGGTAATAACCCTGCTACCCAAGCTACCCAAAGATAGCATTTATTCCATAAGCCACTGCATTGTGCTGCAATTTCATGCTCAACTGGTAATACATCAGAGCTCCAAATCATTTTCTGAGTCAATGCTTTCCAAAATACAGCCTCCCATCCTGAGTGACCTATATTCATAGCTCCTAGCTGTGACTTTCCAATGAACCGTGTTAAAATGCGTGTTGCTCAAATGGCTGTAGCCTAGCACATGATCAAAGTTGGTTTCTAGAAGAGTCTCTCTTCATGTGACACAAATCACTTCAGTATTTGTAGTATTCCCCTACTGCTGTCTTGGAAATTAAGAAAGATTTGAGTAGCATTATGTCAAGAACAAATGCATAATCACTTCCCACCCCAAAAAAACCACCACAAACCCCAAACGAACGTTGTTTTCTGATGAGCTCTGGCACTTGTTTTTGGTGAGTGCAATTGAAATTCAGTTTATGTATGCATCAGGTCCTTAACATTGCTATTGTAACTAGCATCATACAGAAGCAAGCCAAACACCTCAAGAGACTTGCATATATTTATGGCAGTTAGTGTCAGCTGAATATGATTTGAGATAAATTTGTCAATACATATCTACATAGTCTCATCAAGTGGCATGGATCATGGCACCATCCTTTAATTCTAAATTTAATTTAATCTTAAAATTAAATTTAATTATATCTTGTATGCAACGTCATGCAGCTGCTCAACACAATCGTTCATAATCAATGTCAATGAAGAACAATTCATTGACATGTATAAACAATAGCACACTACTTCTTTCCTGTCAAACTGAACTTCCCTAGTACCTCGAGCAGCATTTGATATCCAGATCATTAGTTCTGTTCATTCTTTGGTCAATTTTCTGAAAATTCACTGGGGCAGCT